ACTCTAATAAATGTATATACTAAAGTTTTAAAATGTAGTATAATTAAATCCATGTAAAAAAAAGGTTAAAATATAAATAAATTTTTTGCATAATAATTAGGATTAAAGTTTAGTTGAAAAAAATATAACAATTGTCTAATAATAGTTGGTAAATTTGAAATCTAAAAGTTTTGTTATGCTAAAATTTGAAATCTAAAAGTTTTTAATAAATAAATTATTTATTTACGTTTAATATAATAAATAATTGTGATCCTAACTTTTATTTATAGAGTTAAAAATTGATAGACAAAACATTACTTTCATGGTAAGTTTTATTTTTTTTGATAAAAATATGTCATTTAAAGTCTATTAATTTGTTTAAACCATAAATTATCATGATATTGAATTCAATTAATTTATTGTTCTTTATTGTTTTTGGCTTTATTCCCTTGTCTGGTCATTAAACCTTTAGTTAAATTTTTCTATTTATGGTTTGAAGTCTTACATTTACGTTAATTTATCTTTGGTCAATATCATGGAGTCTTACATTTACATTTTCCTACGTTTACATGGAGACTTATCCAATCCCACAAAATTCAATTGGTTAGTCCTTCAAACTCTACAAGTCTAATAAAATTTTACTTTAATTAAAAATAATGTTTTATAATAATCATTATTAATTAATTAATATATTTAAAAACGTATAAATAATATAATATATTAATGTAAACTACTGTTAATAAAATATAAAAATAATTAACATACTAAAAAAATGACAAGAAAGAAAAATAAGTTGAAATTGATACAATATATAGCCTTTAATTTAATTATGGTTGTTGCTTTAAAATATTATTGTAAATAGTCTCAACAAAATAATAAAATAGAATAATTAAGTTGAAGAGTAAATTTCAAACTTATGAATAAAGAACCATTAAAATCAATAAACAAATTGAAATAGTAGATAGAGTATATTTATTTGAAATTAATATTAAAATATTTGACTTATGTTTTTGGTAAATTAAATGGTAAAGTTATATATTTTGCTAAAAAGGGAATTTATATATATATATATATATATATATATATATATATATATATATATATATATATATATATATATATATATATATATATATATATATATATATATATATATATATATATATATATATATATATATATATATATATATATATATATATATATATATATATATATATATATATATATATATATATATATATATATATATATATATATATATATATATATATATATATATATATATATATATATATATATATATATATATATATATATATATATATATATATATATATATATATATATATATATATATATATATATATATATATATATATATATATATATATATATATATATATATATATATATATATATATATATATATATATATATATATATATATATATATATATATATATATATATATATATATATATATATGGAGCATATCAAATGAGAGATGAGAGTAACAAATAACAACCATTAGATCAAATTAATAAGAGAGATGAAATTCAAGTTAATAAGAGAGAGAAATTAATAGTCACATTAATAAATAAGTTTAATCATGATCTAATAGTGGTTGTTTGTTCCTCTCATCTCTCATCTTAAAATTCCTCTCACTTGAAATGCCATATATATATATATATATATATATATATATATATATATATATATATATATATATATATATATATATATATATATATATATATATATATATATATATATATATATATATATATATATATATATATATATATATATATATATATATATATATATATATATATATATATATATATATATATATATATATATATATATATATATATATATATTTATTTATTTATTTATTTATTTATAAAAGAAAAAAAATAAGTAATATATTAAAATACTTTTACTAATTTATGATATTTATTATTCTGTCTTTATTATTTATTTGTGAATATATTTTTTTTAAGTTATATGATTTCAAAAAAAATTCAAATTGCAAAAGTAATTTTAATTTTTAAAAGTTTCAAAACATAAAACAGTAAATCACTCAAAACAAAGGCTTGATTTTTTTTGTTTATTTTAATACTTATCTCTCAATAAATCTTAAGAAAGAAAGAGATATAATATCATTTCATATCATAAAATTTGATTTTGACTCAAATATTAAAACTTTTATTGGAACTTAAATGAAACAGCCCTTTGATTGTGATAAACCAATCCAAAAAAAATATAAAAGAAAAGGAAACACTGTCATTGTTTATTCCCTAAAGATTAACATTCTGGCACAGAAGCATTTGCATCAAATCCTTATCTCCATATTTTCACCAAGCAATCAACCATTTGTGTGCCATTACTGCAAACATGAAAATGGACAAATCCTGAATTCAAATCAATTTCCAAAAAAAAAAAAAAAAAGCAGACAAAGTTTGCTCTAACACATAACACTCGGAAGTTTGTTCTAACACATAAAAACTGATGACATCAATTTATACACCCCATTATCCTATAAGAAATTAAAAGAGAAAAGGAATAAAGGTTGCACCAGAATTTTAAAATACTGCGTCTCCGAAAATGCAATGCAACGAAGTACCTTCCCAAGAATGTTTGAACAAAACGCTGAGCAGTAAGCAAAATAAACCGATTACGTTCAACCAGAGTCTTGCATTGGTGAGCAATCAATCCACCCGACTACATAACCCATTCATGCTTCATATCAACATAAATGTAGAAACTATGCAAGAGAACGACAATAGCAAAATATTTCAGATTCTATTGGTTGATCCAAGTATGATATAGTAACATTACAAACTTGAACCTAGCCAAATAAAAATACAAAGAGATAAAATAAAATTAAGAACCTATGTTGTTGGATTCAAAACTTTAATAACTAGCTTACGTTCTTTCTTCTTCCTTAGTGAGGCTTTTTTCTGCAAAACACATATGAACTTCAAGATGAATAACAATCAGACAAAATAAATAACATGAAAGGAAGTGCAAAAATCAGAACATGGTATGAAAATGTCATATGCATATTATTCAGGAAACTTTCAAATCAATAAGAACCTTTGTTGTTGGACTCAGAACTTCAATAGCTCGTTGGTGTTCTTCCGTTTTCCTTGGTTTCAGAACTTCAATACCATGATTGAGTTCTTTCGTCGCGATAACCAAACACAATAACAATATAATGAATCTAAAACAAAAGTAAAGGAGAAGAATGAGAATCGAAACCAAAAGAAAAGAGGAAATATATATTTTTTCTATCGCCGAAAATCTGCATGTTTTTTATCGCCATGTTGAGTTGTTTTGAGTTTGAAGAACAAAAAGATGGAGGTTGCGTGATACATATTGGTTGTAGCATTGGAAATGAAAAATTATGTCCAATTCTGATCCGCTATAAAACAACTTTGGTATATGTTCCAAAAGACTCAATGTAATTCTGATTACTTAAAAGTCAAAATCTGATTGCTTTTGCTACTGTTCGGTAACTTATTGGAACTAAAGTGGTAAATATAGTGCGTTAAGTGTGGTCGTGTTTTAATGAAACACAAATTCAGTTGGAATTAGTTGCTATTAGACAAAAAAATGCCCCTAAAATAGTAATGTTGCATCATTGAGAAGAAGGTTATTGGTGTGATTTCCAAAACAATCAAAGTTTTTATATTATAGATTAGTTGGGAGAGATATTTTATAATTGGGAGTTATACTACATCCTTTTCAAAATGACTGTCGTTTTAGAGGAAATTTTTTTGTTGTAAAATGAATGTCATTCTCACTTTTCAATGCAGTAATAATTGTTATTTTTCTAATTGTGTCATATAATTCTTACTTTGTACACTATTTCCAATACATTAAGGGTCTGTTTGGTCGGGGTAAATGGAGGGGAGGGGAGGTAATATTTAATAACTTATGTGTTTGATTCAAATTTTAAGAAAGGGAGGGGAGGTAGATGTAGGAGACCAAAATCCCTCATGAACCACTTTTTGCTTCCCCCGATTTGAAAGGATTTGGAGAGAAGGGGAGGTGTTTGATTTTAATTATAATATATTTACATATTTACCCTTATTATTCATTTAAATATAAATTTAACTTATAACAATGTTAAAAGTTTTATTTTGAACAAATTTAATCTTTCTTTTTATATTTTTTGTATTTTTTATATCTTCATCTTACTATCATTATATTTGTTTAAATTTTTTATTTTATTTTTCATATTTTAATGTTAATTTTAGTTATCGTAATGTTTTTGTTTATAATAACAGGGATACCAAAACTATAATTTAGCCAATTATATATTATAATCGTTGCATTTTTATAAAATATTTCATGATGATCTCTAATTGAATATTTATATTTCGTCAATAAATTTGTATTTGAATTATAAACGGTAAATATCACAAGTTTTATGGTAAAATTAGAAGGATAAAAAAGTAAATTAGTTTTAAAATATCTCCCCTCCCACTTTTGAATCAAGCATATTTGTAAATAAAATGTCTCCGCTCCCTTTCATACTTTGAACCAAACATATATGTAATTAGAATCCCTCCCTCCCTTTCCCTCCCCTTGATAAAAATCCCTCCTCTCGATTGAACCAAACATACCTAATAAGACTAATTTAATAAAAGTGCAATATTTTATAATAGTATCATTACATGCCCTTAATTTGTATGTAAAAATCTTAAACTTACAGTCATTTTAAAATGAAGAGAATCACTTATAAGTAATTTTCAATTTTCAATTTTTTTTTATAATAAAAAGGTAAATTTTTCCAAATTAAAAATTGATTCATCTTGTCAAAAAAAAAAAAAAAGGGTCAATTTTGATTTTGATTGTAAACAAACAATCAATCACAATCTCCGAGTCCAAGAAAAGAATCAGTCTGGATCTGACAGTAATCCATCATCATCATCATCATCTACCGCGACCAACGCAACGCAACGCAGCGAGAGAGTAAACTGGAAAGGATAGGTTAGGGATCATCGATGATACTCCTGCAGTCCCATTCAAGATTCCTGCTTCAAACTTTGTTGAATCGCCTTCAAAAGTACACTCTTCTTCTTTCTTACTTTTCCCCCATTCATTCATTCAATGCCTTCATACCTAACAAATAAACAAATCTCCTAAAACGCGTTTTAGGGCTTCAAACACTCTCCAATGCTTTTCTACTTCTTCTACTACTGCATACTTTAATTTCACCACTTAATTTCTTATGCTTTGTAATTAATTTTCTTCATATCTGTTTCAGTATTGAAAAAGGTGTTGAACTCGATCATCACTGGGTTGAATTTGATGATGTTCGATATCATATCCAGGTAACCGCTCTTTAATTCAGCTTTTATGCTATAAATGCTTAGGATAGAAGTGCTTATTTATAAGCTATGGACATAAAACTATAAGTACTTATACCAATAGATAAGTTCAAACAAGCCAATCTTAACATTTTCAAAATGTTGTCAATTAGGTTTCTTGAATTTGACAGTTTTGGGTTGTATATTTGATTAAACAAAAAAATATATGTAGGTGTCGATGAAGAATCCTCATATTTTCTTGCTATCAGTATCGTTACCTACTCCATCTTCAGAAACTATTTTTGTATCTGGACTACCTTTTGGAGCCATTGAAGCAATTAAAGCTGCATATGGTAGTCTTGTGCAAATTCTTGATCCTCCTAGGGATGGCTTTAACCTCACGTTGAAGATAAATCTGTCAAAGGTTCCTGCAAATCAAGGTACAGCTGGGTTCTATGTATAGGATGTTATTGTAACGTTTCATTTCCCTTGCTAGGAGAAGCTTCTCTGTTTTAAATTGAGTTTATCAGTTTCTGTGTTTTCTATGTGTTAAAACTATTGAGTAGTATTGCACTTTCACTACCGCCGTAAATTATTTTCACCTGTTTTTTGCTTCAGGAATTTACATCGGCTATAGATATTTGATAGTATTTCAATGTAAATTGGTAATTGAAACACTTGGTTGATATTCTCAATTTTCAAATTTGATGTGGTTATGAGCCTGAATCTGTAGGTTGATATATAATTAATGATATATAATTAGTGGTATATTGACATGCATGATTTTAACGCGCTTTGGATCGTCTATATCTTTTGTCTGTGTGGTTCATAGTAATGTTGTTTGATGCGTAACCCAAAGGAGGACAATGGTTCTTGATGGAAATAGCAGTAGAGATTAATAACTAATTAAAGTTTAAGTGTTATCCTCAAGCAATTAAAAATTTCAACCCTCTAAAATTCTCTAGACATTTCTCAATAAGTAAGCTGTTTTCCACTTGGTTTGTTTCTTAGTCCCACAGTTCTGCATCTGGTCTAATAGAACTTCTATCTGAACCACCATCAAAGGGAGTCATCAGTCGGCCGAGAATTTGACAATCAGCAAACTTCTCGTGCACCACCTTGTGCCAATTCCTCTGTTGGTATATGGTGTTCTGGTGTCGCTTGCCATGTATCTATTCACCATGAAACCAGAATCATCCTATACGATAGCCCGTCATGCTCTCATTCCAACAGTCAGTTGTCTCCATCTCCAGTTTTAAGGCATTTGTCCTCTCAGTGACTACTTTGGTTTATGAAGTTGGATTCTGAAGCTACCTTCCAAAATTCTTTGAGAAGTCAGAAACCTACTTGCGATCTTTCTTTTTCTATCTGTGGAGCCCTAATTACAGTAGAAAAGGTAAATGGAAATAGCTATTTAGCTTGGTCTGCTTCCATGTAACTCTGGTCTCTTGGCCAAGGTTTCTATGATTACTTGGAGAAAACTTTTAATGAGATTTTAGTTGAGAATTATAGTCAGTGGGATAAACTTGATTATGAACTCTGTGCTTTGTTGTAAAGAACTCTTGAACTAAATATTTTGGCAAATTTCAAAAAATTTAAGACCCTATCATACATTTTTTAAGAAGGCTCAACATGTTTTGCTAATAACATCTAAATGCTCAAATTGTTTTTATCTTCTGGGAGCTGTTCTTTTTAGTATTGGTTTGTCACTCCATCATTGGTTTTGTTTAAGAGTAATTTCTAGGTTAAGTTATTTGGTTGTTAATGCTGTTCTTTGACAGTTGGCAATGTTGATCTTGTGCAGAGCAAAGACAAGCACTTTTAGTAAAAGTTGCATCAATAAGGGAGGTTGTCCTTGGTGCACCACTAAGAGTAATTTTAAAACACCTTGCTTCAAGAACAGTTGCTCCGGATATGGATCCACTTGTTGCTCTTGTTCATCGGCCAAAGGAGTCTTTTTTTGTTTTTCCCCAGGTATGATTGCCGACGAAACTTTCTGTTACTGAAATCTTCATCGCCGCTTGGGATATTTTATTCACAATTTATTTTGTACTTGGTAGTTCAGTAATCCATAACAATCCTAGATGCAGGATTGAATTCCTTTTAGCTTTCATATTGTTCCTTGTCAGGTTTATTTATATCCCCTCCGTCCCAATTTATAAGCAAAAGAAACTCAATTTCTCTATCCCAAAAG